TATGCAGCCCCTGTAAACCCTCCCTTCCCATGTAACGTGCCGGCTACCATCGTACCAACCGCGCTATGCAGCCGCTGTAAACCCTCCCTTCCAATGTAACGTGCCGGCTACCATCGTACCAACCGCGCTATGCAGCCCCTGTAAACCCTCCCTTCCAATGTAACGTGCCGGCTACCATCGTACCAACCGCGCTATGCAGCCCATGTAAACCCTCCCTTCCCATGTATTGTGCCGGCTACCATCGTACCAACCGCGCTATGCAGCCCCTGTAAACCCTCCCTTCCAATGTAACGTGCCGGCTACCATCGTACCAACCGCGCTATGCAGCCCCTGTAAACCCTCCCTTCCAATGTAACGTGCCAGCTACCATCGTAACAACCGCGCTATGCAGCCCCTGTGAACCCTCCCTTCCAATGTAACGTGCCAGCTACCATCGTACCAACCTCGCTATGCAGCCGCTGTAAACCCTCCCTTCCCATGTAACGTGCCAGCTACCATCGTACCAACCGCGCTATGCAGCCCCTGTAAACCCTCCCTTCCAATGTAACGTGCCAGCTACCATCGTACCAACCGCCGCTATGCAGACCCTGTAAACCCTCCCTTCCAATGTAACGTGCCGGCTACCATCGTACCAACCGCGCTATGCAGCCCCTGTAAACCCTCCCTTCCCATGTAACGTGCCGGCTACCATCGTACCAACCGCGCTATGCAGCCCCTGTAAACCCTCCCTTCCAATGTAACGTGCCGGCTACCATCGTACCAACCGCGCTATGCAGCCCCTGTAAACCCTCCCTTCCAATGTAACGTGCCGGCTACCATCGTACCAACTGCGCTATGCAGCCCCTGTAAACCCTCCCTTCCAATGTAACGTGCCAGCTACCATCGTACCAATCGCGCTATGCAGCCCCTGTAAACCCTCCCTTCCCATGTTATCTGCTTGCCCCTTTGGCCGGGTCGCCATGGAATTGGCCTTACCCGAAATCAACTGACTCACCGACTGACACGCTTCATAATTAGTTTATTTAGGGTTAGGCCGCGAAGGTTTTGTCTTTACTCTAACCCTCCACCACCCGACAAAGGCCATCAAATGAAGCCTGCGTGTATAAAATCGACTCGCACGCGTAGGGGATCCACGTGAGTCGCATGGAGTGTTTGGCATGGGGACTTTTTAAACTGCGACATGTCACGGGGCATTTTCTAGTACGAGCACACCCCACCCTCGCCGTCGCGTACACAATTACGCACACAAGTGCGGTGTAGGATAATCCCAAATTGACGACTGTACCGTTGAGTCACTGCACTTAATCCGCAAACGTACTGCGTCGTTCCACTGCGAGTTTAATCGCACCATGAGCATCATTTCTCCTCTCGCGGCGCTGGCATCATTGACGGAGGAGATTTTGTCCACGAGCATGAAAGGAGTCGTCACAAACGCCCGGCAAGCCGTTTGAGGGTGAACCGCAATTAACAGTCGGGTTCTCGGGATACGAACGTACATTTCGCTGCATCGCCGTTGCGATATCAATTCAGGAGGACCGCGTATCCAGCTTGGGCGGTGGTGACTGCGGACGCCTGTAGTGCAGCACTGTGGGGGCGAGCGTTGGTGGATCACACGGCAGGCAATGTTAAACAAACTCCAAACAAATGTAATACGTCAACGGAATGAATGGCCTGGTGCGATCTGCCTTTGCCTTTCGTGCATTCTGGAAAGGGTGAAGAGGAAGAAGAAAAAGCTGCCACTCGTGTGAAATATTGTACCGAGATTTTTATGACTGACTACAAGGGGGGGTTGGGGATGGTGGGGGGTACCCACCCCCCTGCCCCCCGCCCCCATTGCAGACAGTACAGGACCGATTGTCGCATGGCTACGGAATAGCAATCCCGGACCGGTGCGCCACAAATCCAAATCCGAAGCAGCAGCGACGAACTGAACGCACGGCGAGATTTCACTAATTGGAGGCTGCCACGCCGGGACGCTGCGTGGTGGCGGCGGCTGACAGACGGCCGCGCCGTTCTCCGTTTCGCCCGCTCAGCTGCTCTCCGCAGGTGTCGCCCCGCCAGTCCCCCGTGGCCGAACGTCCGACGGCCACGCCTTGGTTCTGTGCGCGGCGGTTGGCGCTCCGCTCGCGACATATTGGGTCGGATCAGTCACGAAGCACGCCTGCTCCGATCCGCGACCGTCCTGTCTCGCCGAGCAGTGCACGGCGCCAGCCTCAGTGTGGACCCCTGACGGAAACCGGCCGACGGGTCCCCGCGGGCCCACGGCGCTCCTACTGCCGCTCCCCGTGGTAGCGCGCACGCCTGCGTCGGTTTCACCAGAATCGGAATCGGAATATTTGTAGTGGAGGAATCCCGTGAGGCTATGAAGTTCTTTGTCACAGATGTCCAGTATTTCACAGATACAACGTTGCGACGGATTTGTAACGTCCTCAACTGGCCCCCGACTGGACATCTGTGATAAAGAGCTTTACAGCTCATCGGATTCCTCCAGTCGAAATGAAAGATTCTGAGACGTTCCAGTACCAGGCTCTCCGACCCGAAGACCTGGACCCAGTTGCCGGTGGCAGATGTTCGGCATCCACCCTCGAGTCCGAACCGGTGTTGAAACGGACTGAAAGCAGTGTCGCCATTCGAGCTCGGCAAGCGTGCGATCGGCGCCGGGGCGGTCGTGATGGGCCGGACTCGCGAGGGTGCGCGCCATGACGAAGCGTTCAGACTTAATGCTGCGGCCGATTTTCAGCAGGAGACCCGGCCGTGATATAATCCCCCGCGTGACTTGCCCCGTCAACCCACGCTGCCTCGTTTCATCACCGCCCCTCGCGCGACAAACAAGCAATTAAGTGTGTGTGTGCGCGCGCGCTCGCAAGCGTGCGTGCTTTTTACCCGGCGTGGTGTTGGGGTTCGAAGGGGCATGGGACACACATCATTCAACCTGGCCACCAGCCCGCAAGCATCAAAGTAGCGTGAAACAACACCGAAGTCAATTGGAAGCGAACAGAAATCGCGAGTGTGTTTTGGTCGCGGTGTACGTGTGTGTCTGTGTGCATTATAAGTGACAGTTGGCACAGTCGGGGGCACAGATGGTGCATCAGCCAGTCATCTCGGTCATCTCAGTCAGTCGACTCGTGGCACCTGGGTCTGCCCCGTGACCTGCTGCCAGCAGGCGTTCGACACTTCACGTGGCCTCAAGGTGCACATGGCTTGGCACAAGTGTCGTGGTGACGTCACCGTTACTTAGTGGCGAATGGCGGTTGTTGTTATTATTATGGTGTGTGGGGGGAACGGTGGCGCAGTGGTTAGCACGCTGCGCCACGAACCCGGCGACCCAAGTTCCATTCCGGCTCACGGCCACCAAGACCAGTGACGATTATCTGAACCGGTCCTGGGTCTCCTTTAGGTCAACTCAGCCTTAAGTAAGTACCTGGAGTGGTGCGTAATCGTAGGAACTGGGGAGAGGAAGGCGGCCCGGGCACGGTTCTGATCACATGACCCCCCTTATTGGTGCACCGTGTCAGCCGTCGTAGGTGCTCGCTAACAGAACTTGCCCCAAAGCCTGTGCAGGCTACATGGGGGATCTTTGCCCTGCGCGCGCGTGCGTGTGGGCGGGTCGCGTGCATTTATTTTCATCCCCTTTATTACGTTCCGTCTTAGAAAGAGGACCCGTCTCTTTCACAGCTGACAATCTCCCCGGGAGCGCGGAGTACGACACTTTTTTAAAAGCCATGGACTATTTGTGCGACAAATGATGAGGGAGCTCGCCCTAATGATGGGGGGGGGTGGGGCGCCCGTACCCACGCTGATTTGAGGCGTGCATGGAACTGAGCCTTTCCGACTCTTCTCCCGCGGGCCTGTATGCTCACGCCACACTTTGCCTAAAAATGTAATTACGGCGTCGTTAATTCCGGTTGTCAAGCCCCGCGCGCACTTTCTCCAGCCAACGAAGTCGTTTTTCTTTAAGCTCCCTCGGGGTGCTTTGGGGACTGGGCAATTATCGATTGTGATTATCGAAGCAAACGTCGTCGTTGTTGTTTTTTTTCCCTTTTTCCCCAAGGCCGTCTGTTGTTGTTGTTGTCGTTATTTGGGGAACGTGGAATTTCCACCACTCGTGGCGGTAGCTCGGGAGGCGGTCACCGCCCTCGGCGCTCATTTGAGCGGGGAATCATTTTGAGAGCGAAGAACGTGCAATCGAAACGTCGCCTACGTCGTGTTATTTTCTGTCCGGCCACCGTTGTTGTTGACGAGCGAGTCGGTTTAAAAAGGAAAGCAAAAAAAATGTCACACTGTGCTCGTGCACTGTCGCCAACGCAGGAATTCCGGATTGTTGAGCCGCTGTGCCTAGAGGATTTGTTGGATGACACCGATCATTGTGAGAAGATAATGGGGCTTTTTCCACCGACTTTTGTTTTTTTCTCTCCAAAGTCTCTGACCCGGAAACATAAGACCCTGGCTGACAGCCTAGGATTTTATGTTCTCTGGCTTCCTATGTAGCATAAAAAAATATATATATTTTATCCGAGTGTTACAGACTTTTAAAGCAAGTGCTTTAAGTGGCTATTAAGGTTGGCGTGCCACACAAGGGGGTGGCGTTGCCAGCGTTACGCCGTGACCTCTTTGATCTCTCAGTACTTACGTTGCACTCATTTCAGGCTGAGTGAACCTAGGGGTGGCTCAGGCCAGGTTAATTTACCTAACTTCACCGGCGCTTGCTGCGTTAGCACTGGCGTGCACCTGCGGTACGGTACGTTTAATGTGTGTGTTTGCGTCGCTGTTGTGTACTACAAATGTTCAGCTCTTAATCACCACCCCATTAGCGAATTTCACGTTGCTAAAATCTCGAAACTTAATCTGTGTCTATTAAACAGCGAATGTTCCACGGCATGCCTCTTTGCCCACTGTCGCGCAGGCCCCTGCTGCCGAAGACGCGACGCGACGCAGCGATGGCAGACCCGTGCCCGTCGACCACGAGCTTACGCGGCGCCTAAATTGATTCCGCTCGGACCATGAGCCGCAACAAACCCTCGCTCGTGTCGAGGCTTCCCAAGTTCGGCTACGGAGGCGTCGCCAAGTCCCGAGGACCTGACGACGCCGACGCCGCCACCGCCGGCGATGACGAAGACGAGAAGAGGTCGAGGCCCTCGCTCGCCTCCACCTTCGGCTTCCGCGGCAAGAAGAACGACGTCGCGAGGAGGCCGACGGCCGGCATTGCCGCTGCCGGCGAATCGGAGCGGAGAGAGGCCGAGCCGGCACCGCGAGCGGCTCCCGACGCGGACGCCGCCAACGGAGGCCCCGGGTCGGACGATCGCGGCGCCGCCCGGCCGCCGCCCGCCCGCTCCCCGTCAAAGCCGCGGGTCGCCCGGCAGGCGTTCGGCTTTGCCGGGCCGGCACGGACGACGAGGGCCCCCCCGGTGAGGTCGGTCGTGGAGGAACTGCGGGAGGCGTCGGAGGACCGGCACCGAGCGCGCTCCAGCAGCGACTGCGAGCGGCGCGGCGCGGGCGACCCCGGCGAGTGCCGGAGTCGAACCGAGAGCCTCAAGTCGGAGGCCGGCAGCTCTAGCAGCCTGGGCGACGACGGATTCCCGCCAGAGACGGCGCTCACGCGGGCGCAGAGCTTCTCGCACGCGCTCGCGGCGCCCGCGGCGTCCGCGTCGGTCGGCGCGGGGCTGCTCCCGCCCCTCGCCGGTCAGCTCCAGCGGTCCAAGTCCATGTCGAAGGCGCTGCAGGCGCAGCCGGGGCACGGCGGCGCGACCTCGCGCTACCGCTTCGGCCGGCCGAACAACGCTTCGCAGCCGAACCTCACGCAGGCCGGCCGGACGAGGCCCAGGGGCGCCGGCGCCGCGCGACCGCCCGGCCCGCTCAGGGGCCCCGCGAGGAGCTCGCCAGCGGACGCGGACGAGGCGCCGACCGTCGCGAGCTTCATCCCGTCGTCGGCGCTAAAGAAGCCGAGGTTGCCCGGTTTCGCCGCGCCCGGCGCCAACGGCAGGGCCGCTGCCGGGGAGGAGGCCCACTTGCCGCGAAGCCGGCGAGCCCGAAACCCGGCGGGGCTCCGGAAGCCGGGATTGGCGTTCGCGCGGAGTCGCACGCGGGAGGTCCAGACGACGTCGCTGCTGCCGAGGGGGGAGTGCAGGTGGACTCGGAGAGCCCCACCGAGGAGGTCGACAGGAGCGAAACTGCGTCACTGCAGGACAGCGAGTCGAGTGAGTGCTCGCGTATAACGTGCATATGTGTAAATATGCATATACTGCTCTACGTTGTATGTATTGTATGTTGAACTTCTTCTGCACCGTACGTAGCTAACCCTGCTAATTGGAGACCCGGGGGAAGGACAACGAACGAAACACAAAAAGGAGTTCGAAAAAACATTTAAAGAGCATAACTACTCCCAGTGACTTCCGAATATCGAAAGGATGAGTCTTCCAGACGGCCGCGGAAGTGCATCCGAAAGCACATCTTTACGATAGTTATTGTGACCCCATGTTACGGACATTGATGGATGGACGGACAGAGCTCATGCATTGACGGTTTTCAAGCAGAGTTGTACATCGTCACAAATTAATGTTTAGAGGCGGCGCGAATTCCCTCGCGAGGCGATCTGTGTGAAATGAGCGCTGCACTGCGCAGGAATCCCGCGCTACGTTGCCCCCGCACCTCCGACTAGCGCAGTTGGCTACGTACTTTGTGCGAAAGAAATTCGACGTGCGCACAAACGTACACACGTACGCACGCGGCTCCGACCGCACACCGCACGCGCCTTTAATTTACCGCGAGTCTCACTGCGCCTTCTCCTGCGTGCCCGGCTGCAGGCGAGACGATCGCTCCGCTCCACGGGACCCACGGGGCCCACGGCGCCGTTTGCCACGACACGGTTCCCGACCCCGTCGAGGTCACCTGCTCGGCAGGCAGCGACGACGGCGGCGGTGACGGCGACGACGGCAAAGCCGGTGACGCGGACGACCCGGTGGATCGGAGCGACGCCGATCCGGCAGGAGACGGGGAAGAGCCGATAGGGAGGAGGGAGACGGACGGGAGTGGCGCTTCCGTGGACAGGAACAGTCCGGTAAGGCTGCTGTACGGCTGGATTCAATGATTTGCCCCCCCCCTCTCCCTCCCAGCAGGGGGCGATCTTTGTTGCGCGTAATTCCGGTTGAAGCAATTGGCAGGTAGTTTGTCGGCATTGAGATGTGTCGGCCACGCTTTTTCTTTTCGCCGTGGGACCGATAAACCGGAGAAGGCGTAGGAAACCCATGCAAGACAGCCTGAGGGCGTACAAACTGCGCACAGAATGGGAGACCTCGAGTCATGAATCGAAGCCAGAGCCTCCTGACTGCGGGGCTCTCAAGTGTTCACACCACGCTGCTTGCAGCCAAACGTCGAGAGCGACGCCAAACAACGAGTGGTACAACAAGCAAACGCGTCGGGAAAGTGCGGCAGTTTTTTGTGAGCTAGTTATCGTTCTTTGCGTTGTTTTTTTTTTCTATTTTACTCAAGAGGCACGAGTGTGTTACGGATGCGCTGCCAACCCGCCGAACAGAAAGTGCACGCGGCCATTCGTGCCGGAGACTGTGCCACGGAGGTGGATGTCACAGAGCTACCTCTGGGTCCACACGGTAGAGGGCAGCACTTTCTCACCCGCTCGGCACGTGAGAGTAATTGTTCGTGACAGGACGATTCCGCCTGGGTAAGGTAGAATCGACCTTGGGCGAGGAGGTTCAGGACCGGTGTTAAACGATTCGCTTGTGACTTATTGATCGTGAGCGCTAATCATAGCGCAGATCCCTAACCGCTACGCTCCCATTCCCCACTGCTACGGTCTGTACTCTGCAGTGAATAACTTACGGTTCAAATGTAAATTGTTAATAAATGCAACTTGAAAGTTAGCATAATACCGGTGTGCCTATTATTTTCTAGCAATGCATTCCATTCATCTTCATGCCTTTAAGGTAACATTACACGAGAGTAAATTTAATAATAAGCCAGCGTATCAGATTTATTTATTTTTTTCGGAGGTGGACCAGGCAGCGCTTACCAAACACATTTGTTTCAATCATTTATTGAGCACATGTTGCCCCCGGGGCTGAGAAGGCGCACGGAAAACGGTGTGACGGAGTAACGACCTTGGGGAATTTCTTCGTCTCGACTACAATTTTTGTTTGCAAAGTGGCCCGCCGAAGACAAACCGCTGAGCTCGCAGTTTGTCGCCGCCCGCAGAGTAATTAAACGCGGGGGGTCACGACTAATTAACTTACACGTGGCCCCACTCAAGGCCCGCTAAGTGCCACTGCTCGATACTATCAATCGCCTGCCCCACAGCCTTCCCCAATCCCAGTTCCACCGTCTCCTGCACGACATTTTCATTTCGTTTCTCTTTGCTATTGTGCACCCCCTATGCCTCCCCCTTTATACAAACTAAGAAGACGGTCCCTTCCTACCCGCCCCCCTCCCGCCCCCCTCCCTCCCCTCCCTCCCTCCCCCTCCCTCCCGCTCCCCTCCCTCCCGCCCCCCTCCCGCCCCCCTCCCGCCCCCCTCCCGCCCCCCTCCATGGACAGCCTTAACAGACTGTTAGCGAGCACCTATGAAGGCCAGAACGGTACACGAGGGGGTGGGTGGGCCAGCACCACGCCCGATCGCCTTTGTCTCCCCAGTGGCAATGTTTACACACTGCACCAGGTACTCATTTGAGGCTGAGTCGACCTAGGGGAGGCCCGTACCGGTTCAGATAATCGTCACCGGTGTTGGTCGTGAGCGGGAATCGAACCCGGGTCGCCGGGTTTATAACGCAGCGCGCTAACCGGTACACTACCGCTCCCCACCTACACTACCCCATATACAGCTACACTACCGCCCCCCCCCATACACCACCACCACCACTGCCACCCATCATACCTCCACCACCACCACCACATTCCACCTTCCCTTGTAATTCATTGACCTCCATCCATGCTATTCGCAATGACCTCAATTCCTCACCCTTCAGGGAGCAAGGAGGGGTTTGATGTTCAGCAGATGAGGTGCAGGGCCTGGCCTCCCGGGTGTTGTGGGGGTGCGTCTATGAAGTCTTCCTGTGGGTGGCGCGTGGGGGAGGGGGTGGGGGGGGCTGCTCTTGGGGTGGACAAGTTCAGATAATAATAAGGGCTCCACCTACATTGGACCGCGTGCTGTTTGGGAGTCATCGGGGTCACGGGGGGCCCCATGCCACGGGCACGAGGACTCGTCACGTTGTCCTCGCCTCCTGCTGATGTAGATGCCGGAGCAGCAGCAGCTACAATTTGGCATTCAGATGGTTAAGTCGGATAACCGCGTCAGGAGCCAGCGGAGTTGTGTATCATCATCGCCGTGATGTGTCTCCTTCGTATTTGCGGATCGGGGCATTGCGTCCGTTACACGTTGTACGGACTCTGTTCTGCGTGACCACAGTCGCACCACTACTACTGGAGAGTTTTTAATCTTCCATTTGTGCATCAGGTATCCGCATCTGCCACCGTTTCTGCAGTGGTTGCGGTTTAGGGTGGACCGTGAGCGTCACTGCAGTCGAGTGAGTGCTTGTGTGTACGTGGGGAGTGGTGGTGGTGTAGCAGTTAGCTCCGCACTACAAATCTGGCCGCCCGGGTTCGATTCCCGCTCATGGTCAACAGCAGTGACGATTATCTAAATGAGTCCCGGGCCTCCCCTAGGTCGACTCGGCCTCAAATGAGTACCTCGTGCGGTGTGTAGACATCGCCACTGGGGAGACAAAGGCGGCCGGGCGTGGTGCTGGCCACCCACCCCCTCGTGTGCCGTTCCGGCCTTCATAGGTGCTCACTAACAGCACTTGCCCCTACAGTCTGTTAAGGCTATGCGAGGGATCTTTGCCTTTGTCTATATATACCATGATTATTCCAGGTTTTCTAAAATTGTAAGCAGAGCCATCGTTCTCACAGAGAACCTGTGTGATAAGAATTCAGTATTAACCGGCGATCTCTACAAACAAGAATTAAGGATGTGCGAGAAGAGCCAGTGGTGATCTTAAAGCCCGGCGCTCGTGGAAATTACACTCAGTGTGGGTGATGCAGGTAGCCCAGTGGTTCGGAGGTAACGCTCCGTTTGTGAAACTCCCAAAGCAACTGACCTGCGAGGTGGCCGGGAGATGGCAGTATGGCAAGTGGGTTTCTGGAACCCATCTGTGCGGAGTCTGTGAGTCTTGTACCCCTAACGAGCGTCTTGGAGTTTTTCTCCCCAAGTCCTCCCCCCCCCCTCCCAGTTTCTTCCCAAATGCAAAAACACACGTGCAAAGGATTTTTTGCTAAAACTTTCTAATCATGCAGAATTCTTGCCAAAAGGGGAACTTGAGATTTTTAGCGAGGCCTCTCTGAATAAACTAACCACTTGCGGTGGTGAACAGGGGCATGGTGAACCGGGGGATAGTGCACACTGCGCTGTGAATCTGGCAGCGTGGGTTCTATTCCCAGCCACGGTTAACATCAGGTCCTCGGACTGGTCCTAGGCTCCCTCCTTAACCCGGCCGCACTGACCTGCATCAAGCAACGCGGGGCTGGGGGCAGCGCCTTCATCCAGCAGCGGATAGGCAATGCAGAGTAACTTTCGTTTTAATTCCACGACGTTTGCTGAGAAGTGTTTTTGATTCATAATACGTTTCTTTTGGGCCAGATTGCGTCGGTATACATTCAGATCCCCAGTCACTCACCCGCTCACACACCCCCGCGGTGGCTCGGCTCGGATGTGCCAGTGGAAACATGGTTGGCGCACTCACCACTGACGGCCGCCTGGTTTTGCACCTCGGTGCGAAAGAATTTCAACATACGTCCGGAGAAACTTCGCGATGCTGAAAAAAAAATTGTGGTTGAATTTATTATTCATAACCGGCCCTGCGTGTTTCGCCACCACCACTCTGAGCACTTAGCCGGCGGTGGATGTATTGACCGTGGCCCGCCGGAGCTGCGTACGCCGGCAGGGAGTCTGGACGCTCAAGTGGGCTCCCGAGGCTTAAACTATCAACTCCGGGGAGCGAACGCACGGCCGGCGACTGCCAATGGAGCGAAGTTACGGGCATGGCGCACGAAACCTTGGTGGCTAGGAGATGTTAACTACCTCGCCTGGTGTACGGGAGGTCGTGGGTTTGATCCCGACCCTGACGCCTGCTGTCTATTTGGAGTTTGCGTGTCTCTCTCCCCGTGGTCGCGTGGAGTTTTCTCCGAGTCCTCCGTTATTCCATCCAAATTTATAAACGTGCGTTTAGAGTATTTCGCTGCTGTAACATTTCCACGTGATAAGCCACTTTGTTGAGCTATCGTTTGTGTCAGGTCGCTTCTGAAAAAGAGGTGTATAGCTCAGTGGGCCTTACCCGGTAAAATAAAACAAGTTGCGTTTTAGTTTAGTTATGTCCTGGTGCAAGGAATGAAATGGGGGTCCTTCTGTCCGATTTCTCTGCCCTTTTGGCCCAACGCCTGGGCCCCTTTCCTTTGGGGCCCTTCTGTCTTTTGGGCACCGAAGGCTGTAGCGCTGAAGATGGATTGGTTTTTGGTGAGTTAGAGTTCAGCGATTGCTGATGACAGTTTTTAGGATTGAGTGATGTTTTTTTAACTGATAGGGTTCAATGGCTTGTATGAACTGGTCTTCATGGCTCAGTTGGATTGAGGTGGCTGGGCAGCTTTGAGGTCATAGCACTGAGATTCTCTATTGGAGACCGGATTTCAGCCTTCCGTATTTATACCAGGTTTATGGTTTCAGCCAGAGTCACGAATAACTGCGGCAAATAAATCTAAAAATTGTATTTGCACTTAATTGGGCCAAATCCCAGCTGTGAGAATTAAGACACTGCCATGGCTACTTGAAGGGCTTTTCAAGTCTGTGAATGTGTCTTGTGCAGATTTTTGCGAATGCATTCTTTGTCTAAAGACACATTGCCGATAGTGTACCGGGAATACAATTTTGCTAAAATAAATGACCCTTTATAAAAAGGCATGCCGCTTAATGTGCACACAAGAGCACGTTTTAGCGAAAACGCCTTGTGTGAACACGCGTTCAACGAGGACTTACCTACAGTAATTGTTGTGCGTGAAG